TAAATATTTAAAATAAGTATAAAATTGGGTTGAAATCCAATTTATGTAATTCTACCTAATAATTATAATTATGGTATTAACCGATTTATGCTGATTGTAGTATCTACTGATTTCTATCTATTGATTGCTAATCAAAAATAGTGATCAATCGGGAAAGTACCCAATTTATCAGCGTTCAACCTGTATTAATTTTCAAAATTGCAGGCAAATTTGCCTACAAAACCATTAAGGGGATAAAATTTCTTAATAATTATAAAAATTATAATAATAAATTTTATAATATTGTATTATGATTAAATATAGCTAAAAGTAATTTTATTGATTAATAAAAAATTTTAATAAAAATTTTTTAAACATTATAAATATTAAAAATATTAATTTATTATTAAAAATAAAAATATAATCTTAAATAAAATTTTTTTTTTCAAATATTATTATAAATAATATAAAAAATAAATTTAAATTTTCTAATAATATATAATATTATATAAAAAAGCATTATTTACTCACTTTATTAAATATAAATAGTATTTCTAATAGTCTAATATTTTATTAGCTTTGTTTTGGTTATAAAATAAAAAAAGTATTATATATAATAGTATAAATATATTTATATTACAATATTGATTATTTTGTTGATTATTAGTTTAGAGTGTAATAAAGGACCATATAATTCTATAGCTAATAATACAAGAGATATTATTATTCATCCATTCAAAAATTGAGTTGATAAATAATTAGTCTTTTTTATTACATATGTATTTTGAACTTAAAAATTGTTTTTGAAACTGTTCTCTAGTATATAATATTATTGTATCTGTTTTTTTAAAATTTAATGCTTTAAATAATTCTATAAATATTTAGATAATTATTAAATATTTAATATTTTTATAAAAGTTAATATAAAAATTGAATTAAAATATAAAAGTTAGGTTTAAATTAAAATTTTTATAACTAATTAACATTAATTAATATCAATACTATTTTTTTATTTACTTTAAAGTTTTGAATGAAGTGACAGATTTTGGATGTAATTTAAAATTTTTAGAATATATATTCTTTAAATATTTAAGAATTAATAACCAAAATTATTACAGAAATTTAGGTAATTAAAAAGTTTATTATTAAATGAATTTATTGTATTTTTATATAAATAATATTAAAAATTTTGCAAAAGTTTTTTATTTTAATGATATTTATAAATTATACTTTAAATATAAATCAAATATAAAATTTAGTATATATTATTATCTTGTAGATATTTAAATTAAAAATTTAAATATTACTTAATTTTTTTGATTTTAGCATTATTTTTAATGTTAAATTGCAAAATATTGATTCTATTACTAATAATAATTCACTTTTGATATAAAAATGATGTATTATTTATTTATAATAATAAAAAATCACATGTAAATTTTATTATACAGAATTTTTCAAATAATGCTAAATTGAAAAATGATTAACAATAAATTAATTTCAAATAAAAATTTATTTATATATGTTGGTTGATATTATAATAAATTTTTAGCCAATATCTTTATGTCCCATTAATTTAATTGAATTTAAAAAAAAAAATTTACTTAGTATTTATCACATTTCTTTAAAAATAAGAAAATATCAATAAATATTATATTCCAATATACAGTCAAACCTATATGTAACGATATTATATATATCGATAATTGCATGTATCAATAATTTTTTTATGTACCATTTTATTATTAATTAAAAAACCTTTATATATCGATATTACATATAATTTCACAATGTAACATATACCGATATTTTTCTTTGTTCCTTTATAATTAATATATAGAAAGATTTACTGATATTTTAGGTTACACCAGTATAAATCCATACTTAAAATGATATAATGCATCTTTATTTGCATTAGAATCATGTTTCAACTACAGATAAAAAGAAATTTAACAAAGAAATAAGTTGTTTTACATATGCAAAAAAAAACTTTTATTAAAGAAATAAAAATAATAATATTAATAATAAAAAAAAATATAATCATAATAATGATAAGAATAAAAAAATAATAACAATATTTATATATTTATATATTACGCAAGCATGATCATAAACGTGAACACGATCACGAACTTAAGTGATGTTTGTATGCGATCACATATTTACGACGTTTTTGAAATCAAAACAAAAAAAACGTGTGTGTAAAACAAAAGAAAAAACTATATAATAAAGCTGGATCCGTAGGGTGTTGGTCGGAGGCGTAATGGTAAAATGTATTTTTTTGTGCATTTCATTTCGTAAAATTCAAAGGCACTTTTGTTTCTAATAAAACTAACTCAAATTTTATTCAATTGCTAAGTTTAAATATTCGTTAGAAAGAGAATAAAATTGTGGATGATATAGTATAATAATATTTTAAAATTAATAATTGATTTCTTTTTTAATATTGCTTTCAAATTGACATTTTTCTTAAGATATTTATTGATTAGCTTATTATTTTATACCGATATTGATCAACAAATTATAGTAATATTGGTATATAAAATTTTCTTAATATACTGATAACTTGATATACTGATATTTTTTTCTCAAAACAGCTTTATTGTTACATAGAGGTTTGACTATATTCTATACTATATATAGCACATTTATTTAGATTATTGATCAATAAGAATAATAATATTATTTCTTTTTATATTATTATACCATATAATATTTTTCAAGATAATAATGGAAATGGAAAGTTAGACATTTCTATTAGTTTTCTTAGTATTTTAATTCTATTATAGGTTTTTTGACATTTTGAAAAATTTAGATTTATTTTTTAGTATTTAAGTTTAAGGAATAGCTCTACATTACATTATTAGTATATAATAATTTATATGGATTTTTCACATTACCGTATAGTACTACCTAAGAGACCCACTTTTTCACGTATCCCATGATAATATACCCAGTATTTTATTAGACAAAAAAACATTTTTTTGATTGAGACCCAGGTATAATACAATTTTTAAATGAGGTAAATTGATATAGACCTGTGTATTTTATCATTTATATTACCGTACTTGATTTAACCAATATTTTATCATTTATATTATCGTATTTGATTTAACCAATATTTTATCATTTATATTACTGTACTTGATTTAACCAATAACGGCTGAAATTAACTTTATTATTAAACTTTGTATTACTTAATTTAACCAATAATTGATAATTGATAAACGTATTACTTACTTAACCAATAAATTGTATTTTGCCGATAAAAACAAATTTTTATACAATAATATACACGTTTAAGTAAAAAAACCTTTCTACTATAAGACACTTTATTATATAATATTCTATTATCACAACAGTACATATAAGACTTATAGCTTAACTCCAATCTTGAAATACGGTGTGTTGTTCATTTTCTTTATAATAGTTTTCTTCAGATTCACTTCTATTACTATCTCATAACTCACTACCATCGAGTGGCATGGAATGGATAAAGATAATATTATCTTTCAATAAGATAATGAAATGACCCTAAACATACTGCAAATCTTATTAAGCAATGGTTTGTTTGAGGATAATAGGGTTAAAGTTCTTGATTGGCCAGCACAGTCCCCTGACTTAAACCCAATAGAACACCTTTGGAATAAAATGGACTGTCGTCTGAGGCAGCTTGAATACCTGTTAGAACACACGATCAGTTGTGGGATGCAATTCAAAAAATTTGGGTTGAATTAGGGTCTGATGTATGCGAAAAGTTGGTTGATACTATGGCAACTCGTATAAATGATGTAATAAAGGCTAATAGCGGCTATACGAAATGGTAAATAATAATTTACCAAAGTTTTAATGTAAAAAAATTTTTTTTTTATTTAAAAATTTTAATAAAATATCGGTCAAAAGAAAAGCATCGCATAATTTACATTAAATAAATATTTTTTAAGTTTGATTTTATTACTGTGCAATAATTTTTATATCAAAAAAATAAATTTCGTAACTCTGCGCCTTCTAATTCACGAGATATTGCAATTTTAAAATTTGTGATCGGGTGATGCAATACTTTTGACCGCCACTGTATATAGTAGGGTGTCCATGATAGGATGGTTCAAAATTCGCATGTGATTTTATCGCAAAATCGCGCAAACTCGTGATAAAATCGTGACCAACAAATCATGGACACCCTAATATATAGTAGTACCAACTTTGACAGAATCGTAACTCTCATTTGAAATTAACAATTTTAATATATTATTAATATCTTAATATTAATTAATGTTTTAAAAAGTAGGTAATTATGAGTTTTCATCGAAATAAAGTTACCAGAATTCCATTCGGCTAAAATTTGAAACTATTATTGAATTGAGAATTTCAAGATGTTCTGACATTATATCAAATTTGGAACAGCGACTCGAGTCGTTTCTGAAAAAATCAAATAGCGAAATTTTCAAATAACCCCAATGACCGGTAGGTATAGAAACCTACTTTTTTTTAACGTGTGCATTGTTAAAAATTAAAAATTTAATAAAGTGTAAAATAAGTTAGGCCATAAAAATTCAAAAAAAGTACTCCCAAAACAAAACAAATATTAATTCTTTTGGTCAAATTTTTTTTCAATATCTCTAAAATAAAAAAAAATGATAAATACGAAGAATATTATGAATTTAAGTTGAATAAAATGTACATACCGTGATCAGTCTTGGTTAATTTTTCAATTAGATTGGCAACTTTTTTTTCATGATCATTGTCAAACTTAAATATGTTAACATCAGCAGAATAAGCAGCTTTAAGTATCGTAATCGAGTTATCTATAGCTATCTGTTTAGCCTCTTGAATAACACTATTTCTTTCATTTCTCTGACTAATTATGTGGTGTCTTTGAAATGACTTAGTCATGACAGCGACACACACACCATAATCTGATCCAAGGATGAATTCATAACCTCCCTTATTAGCACACCATTCAAAGTAAATAAGATAATTGAACCCCGGCAATTTATCTTTGTTAATTAATTCATTTATCATCTTTTCTTCTGGATGATTTTTAAAATATTGTTTCCATTCTTGTCTCATTTGTTTATCAATATTTTTTATTAAATCTTTATGAGGTTGGAACCATTTTTCACAGAATGGTAAAACGTTCTCCGTTATAAAAGGAGCAAAAGAAGAATAAATTTCTGGAGGAGATAAATGGGTTGAATATAATTTACGATTGTAAGAAGTCATGGTATTTTGATAATTATTAAAAAAAAATTACAGTTTCATGTCTTTTTAAACAATTTTTTGTAGCTAAACTGTTATTTATGCATAAAAGCAACGGAACAAAAAGACTTTGTAACAAGAAAGCCTTGTTATAATTTATTTATTTATAAAAATTGGTTGAAATGATTTATGTATGAGATATTCCTTATATCATATTGAAACGCATAATATATCGAAAATATAAGGTAACGGAACAAAAAAAAAACCAAGACATTTATCTTATGTTATTATGTATCAAAAATTCCCTTGTAATGTTATAATGGATACATAGGTTAAATCAAACATTAAAAATTCCTTATAAAGGAAATACAAAGAAAATTATTTTTCCTTTATTGTGACGATCATTAAAGGACATTTTGATAAAAATTCCTCGTTATTATCAATAATATTTTGAATATACTGTATAATTTATCCAATCATCAAAATATCGAATTCTTAATAATATTTTCAGCTGAAATGGTTCCGAACTTCACATATGTATCATGACGTCTCAAAAGTTTGGTAAATAACGTTATTCTTTGATGAAAAACAAGTACATTCTTATGAAATTTAATCATGAAATTAATAATAATTACTAATTGAATAATTAAAGGAAAAAAAAAGTTTTCACTTAAAGAAGATTTCATTATGAGATATTATTAATAGACAGCAAAAACGTTATTTTATCTTGGTTGATATACAGTAGATTACTGGAATGACCATTTTTATCAATAAAATTAGGCCTGTATTCGTTAATTTATCCAGTTTTTTTTTACTTGTTATAAATGACAAACTTTGTTATTTACATTCCACGTGCATTTTTCAATTATCATCTAGGATGGAACCTTCAAAAGCATATATATATATAATAATAATTTAAGTATTTGGTTTAGTTATCTATAATACAAGTCATTTTATAAATCGAAAGTCCCGAAAAAACGGGAATTTAACAAACTAAACAAAGCGAGTACGTAATATACGAATCTTAGCTACAGAAAGACCAATTTTTTATAATAGGTACAGAAACCTCAGCGCATTGGGTATTGTATTACAAGTCACACAAGGTGAAACGTGTGATTATTTGATTATTTTCTCTCATAAATTTATCAATACGGTATGAATGGATACTTTGCCTATACAAAGATTTAACATATTCAGTTAGTTTATTGAAAAAGTCCTTTGCGTTTTGTGTTCTTTATTTTGCAATTCGATCGTGAGGTAACCTTGTTACGCTACTCCTTCGTAATGAAGCATTTGGAGTTCTTTTGATTTTCTGCTGTTAGTTGTGGTAGGCTAATAACATCTTTGACGAGATCATTTACTCGGTTAGAACAGCATTAGTTTCTCTATCGAACTGATTTCAGCTTTATTTGAATTAATATATGAAAAATCGCGTTTCATTCTTTTTTTTAAGATTTTAGGTAATTTTCTTTAAAACAGCAAAAAGAAATGTTTATGAAATTTTCACGTGTTACATATAAACGTATTATGTCTTGGTTTAGACGTGGGTTCGGATAAGTAATGAAGCATTGGTCGCCTCCTTACGTTTCACATAGTGATCACGCCCCCGAAAACAACAAATAAATAAAAATGCTCTAAAAGAGTTTATCATGTATCCTTATCAATGGGAATTCCGAAATTGGCATATAAAGTATGACACGCCATTTGCATGCAAACCCAATGCTACGTGTAACGTTATTGTCCTGTTAAGGTTTTAGACTTTACATGTATGCAAAATGCAAATAGTTCATTGATCCTGTAAAGTTACAAATTTTTTTTTTTAAAAAAAATTTTTTATACATTTCAACTATACATATAGGAGGAAACTCTAAAAAAAATTTTTTTGGGGTAAATATTAAACAAAAATGGACTTATTTTACTAAAAAAATTTCCTATTTAGCATTTGATGCAAAATTTTTTTTTGTCCCTTTTTACGCAAATATGTTTTCAATAAGGTCCCATATGTTCAAAATACATGTATTTATATTTTTTTCCAGGACGCGCAAATAAATAACAAGTAAATATCTTGCTTCTCTGTTGCATGATAATGCTGATGCCTTCGTTAAGTAATTATGGAGCTAACAGCGTATAAAGTAATTGATATCGGGTAAATTTCTGGATGGAAATCCATTGATAACTACAATCTGTGTTCCAGACAAATTAACAAATAACGCGCCTATATTTTTATAAAGGCTGGTCAGCATTATGAACATTACATTTATGTGAAACAACAATTAATATAAAATAAAGGTAAGAATCTTTTTACAGGACACGGTTTAAATTTGCGTAACCAACATAATATCGCTTATTGTAACATCAGTAAAAAAAATACCAGTGATTTATTTATATTAAATTAAATGTTTCAGTCAATATTTATTGAAAATGCATAAATTTTTTTTTTCGAAACCCCATTCTTGAGATTATAAGATTGTCAAAATATTAAAAAATCAATATAAGAAGAAAAGAGTTGTAAAAGTATAATTTATGATAAAGACAGATCTAATTATTTTTAATTAAAAAAGCTAGGACAAGAATGCGTTATGTATTATAAGTTATATCAGATATTGGCGCACTTGAAAATAAACCTACCAAATCCCTTGCTTTACGTTTTACATTGGTCTAGAAACCTTCTGTCCTAATTTAAAAAACCACCTATCGTTATATAGTAGTTTTAAACCGGATTGGCTGCCAAACGTGCAATTTTTAATTCTGCCAAACATGTCGTCCATATGATAATATGATCGACAAAAATTGGGGCAATATTCCAAGAAACTTAATAAGCAGTATTGTTTTTAAATAATGGTTTATTTTGAGTTGTATTATAATCATTGCCAAAAGGGGGGTTTCTTTCAATTATAAATTATCGTTGATCAAAAATTCGACCTTTTTCAAAGTCCAAGTTGGGCAATCAGAATAGCACATTTTGATATCTTTATAAATATTGGAAGAGAAAACTGAATTTTCTATTTTCTATAAACAAAAAAGGAGGTACATAAGAAATATCTATTCGGCTTTTACACAAGTTTAATTTAATTATCTAATTACTATGTTAGGTGTTATGTTTATTTAAGATATAAATAAACAATACATTTTACCCGGATTTCACCTACAAAACTAAACCTATGTAGTCATACGTGGATGATCTATTCTTTCTAGGCGTTCCTTTTAGTGTCCAATTTTTTGTATTAATTTAACATAAATAAAAATCCTTTTAATTTTTTAGAGTTCATTAATATAAAATAATCCATTATAAATATATGGAGTTTTTCCTCCGTTTCAAATTTTTAAAAAAATTTGAAAGTTATCATGACGTCACCATCATCTGAAAGGCAACCCTTATCAAATAATAATTCAGATTATGGTTCAACATCAGAAGGTTTACATAAGCCGGTAACTTTAGTATCTTTTGATAATGATAATGCGGGTCGCTCTTCATCTCCGGTTTTATATCCTCCTCCTCCTACCATATACAATTCCCTTAAAATTATCCTCACTTCTTCATATATAAACTGGTTGTTAATCTTTTTACCATTGGGATTTTTGGCTAATGCGTTAAATTGGAGTGATACTTGGATCTTTACTTTGAATTTTTTTGCGATCATCCCATTGGCAAAATTACTTGCATTTGCAACCGAAGACGTTAGTCTGAGAATTGGTCAGGTAATTTTTATTTCATACAAAATTAAGAATTCATTCTCGCGCATATATTAATATATATATATATATTTTTCGCAGACATTGGGTGGTCTGCTAAATGCTACATTTGGTAATGCGGTAGAATTAATTGTTTCTATCATTGCCCTTAAAGAAGGAGAAGTACGCGTGGTTCAAGCTTCAATGCTCGGATCAATTATTTCAAATTTATTATTGGTATTGGGAATGTGTTTTGTTGCAGGAGGCATTCATCATAAAGAACAATCATTTAACCAAACTGCCGCACAAACAAGCTCAAGTTTAATGACTTTAGCTTGTATTGGCTTAATCATTCCTGCTGCTTTTAATTTTGCCGTTGGTCGTAGTGGTACAGTCGTCGACTTGAAGCATGAGATTTTAGATTTGTCGCACGGAACGGCGATCGTTTTATTGATAATTTATGTCCTATACCTTTTCTTTCAAGTGAGTGACAAGGTTTTGACGCGACATTTACATGAAATCTTAAACTAAACCCCCTTTTCTTTTCAACTTTTGACCACTAGTTGGGAACTCATAAACATTTATATGATAGAGTACGACATAATGACGAAGAACAACCAGAAGAACCCCCACAAGAACCAGAGGAAGAAGAAATACCACAATTAACTCTTGGTGTATCATTATTTTTCTTGGCCGCTATAACTCTTTTGGTAGCTTGTTCTGCTGATTATTTGGTTGGTTCGATCGAAGGAATCGTTGAATCTTCGGGGTTAAGCAAGACATTTGTCGGTTTAATTTTATTGCCCATCGTTGGTAACGCTGCAGAGGTAATTATTTGATTAATTTCTTCGAATTCGGAAAGTTTTTATTTTTGGTTAGAAGTCTGGCTTAACACGTGATTTCTCCCATATAGCACGTAACGGCCATTTCCGTCGCCATGAAAAATAAAATGGATCTCGCTATTAATGTCGCCGCAGGAAGTTCGATGGTGAATAATCTTACTCTTTGGTTCTCTTTTTTTTTTTGCCCGTTCTAGTACGCCCAACCAATAATTTCTCCATTCTTTCTTTAGCAAATCGCATTATTCATTACTCCATTCCTTGTCGTTCTTGGATGGATAATTGGAGTACAAATGACCTTGTTTTTTAAGACATTTGAAACCGTCGTATTATTCATTTCAGTCTTGATAACGAATTATCTTATTCAGGTATTTTATTTATTGGGTGGGGGTTTTTTTTTAATAAAAAACGCCATTTCGAAATTAACATGCTTTATTTTTATTTTAGGACGGGAAATCAAACTGGTTAGAAGGTGCAATGTTGCTGGCCACATATACCATCATAGCGTTAGCTTTCTACCTATATCCGGACATTGATGATTCAAACGAAGTTAACACTGATCTACTTTGGAATTAACCTATTTCTTCATTTTTATACTTAACATTTGTATATATATTATATGTTAAATATGGATTTATTTATTTGCCATGTATTATTATTTATATAGATATATTTATTCTATTAAAGTTGTAATCTTTTATTGTTATATTTTAAAGGAGGTACTTAAAAAAAAAATATATAAATATTATGATTCAAAAAAAAGAAATTTTTTCCTTTCCCCCCATGTATGACATAATTGCCGTGTAACGAATGATCAAAACCATCACATCATAACCCCAACTTTTTAGTTTAAAAGGGATAAGTCGACCTAAAAAATCATACATTACATTACTTACATAATAATCTGTAAGCCCAAAATGATGGCTGAATGAATCTCATTTTTTTAAAAAATAAAACTGGTCAAAAAAAAAAAAAAAAAAACGCCCGACGGGGAATTTTTAGATATCTACCTTGATCAAAAAAAATTTATAATATCAAAATTGGAAAACCAGGTTGTATTTAGACGCCAAAACAGTACAGTAACCCAAAAAGGCTACAGCAATCTTTTCAAGCACATCAAAAATTGTTGCCCCAATGTAGGAAACGTGAAAAAAAAATTGTCTAAATCTAGATAAGAAGTAACTTTACACACCACATTATAAGTAAATTTATTTTATATTATATATTTATACAAGTACATACATTTTAACATCCCATCTTTTTGGGAGGGGAAGCTTCTACTTGTTTCAAATAAAAAACAAATATCAAGTCTGATGATTTATATATATTTTTTTGATTGGTCTACACATCAGGTTTTAAAGTTGTTATACATCAGAGAACTCATTTACATATGTCATCATATTTTAACTACAGCAAGATAACAATTCAGGTTTAATCTTGTATCTTTATTAGTAACTATTCGAAAATAGGTGAAAGTTAGTATTTCTAATACCATAGCCTATTTCATAATATGAACTTTACTATATATTTATTTTTAGGTTACATAATATAAAATATGTCAAAATAAAAAAAATTGTTTACGTAATCCTGTAATCATGACCAAGGTTTTTTTTTAAAATTCAAAATCTAAAGTAATTAGAAAATATCGGCTCAAAGCTAATCTTTATGCTATGGCTATGGTCGTTCTTAGATTATTGTCTTATTAAATAAGTTCGCTTTTGAATAACTAAAATGATTATCATCCAAGTGACAAATCGAGAATTTACCAAATTTCAAAAGCTCTTTTAGGATAATATTATGGTCATATAAATACGCCCGTTAAAACAAAGATTGCTCGGTACTTACGCGTCTTTATCGCAATTAAATAATTAAAAACATTTATTTGTTTTTTTTTTTCAAGTGTAGCAAAATAAATTAGTAATTTAAGTTTGGTCTGTTTGGTCTTGTGAGATTGGAAATTCCGTGTTTTTGCAAAATTAAACAGAACCGATTTAAAGAAAAATTAATTCATTCATACAATGGATAAATATTATTGCTGACTAAATAATATAATAATAATAATAATAATAATACAAATATCCAATCATATTATTCACTATACGAAATATTTGTTTATTGATCACCCATTAATTAATTAAATTGTAATACAATTAAATTTCGATTCTCTACTTTTATAGTAAAGCTTAGACACCAATTCAAAATTAAATTAATCACGCAAATTACTCGATCGTATGTATTCACCAAAACCAAACAATATTACGGGGACCTTTAGAATTATAGATTCCTTTTCCTGCGGCTCTTAGAGGGTAATTGTTGTATCGGGCGATAACCTGCAATAGAATTAAATGCAATTGAAATTTAAGACTTAGTTTCAAAGAAATCTATATTAACACTAATAATAAATATCAAAAATAAGGTAAAGAAAAGGAATTTGATTTCACGACTTTCGTTTAAGCTTATGAGTGCTGAGAAAAAGGACCAAAATGTAAAAATTTATTTTTAAATAATAAATGTTCTGAATCAGGAAAAAAATTAGCACTCTTCACTGTAAAGTATCATTGGGACCGTCCCCTATACCTAAAGTAGACATGCTCAACACGCGGATGATTTACGTTAATTAATTTTAATTCATTTAAATTAAAATGATCAGTGTGCACACGTTTACTTTTTTATCAAGTCGATCTTCTTTTTATACAGAATCGACATAATGATATAATTCTGACCCTTAATTTAAAGTGGTTATTATCCATATTAGGGAATAAAAATCGGAGTTTTGACGTAAACAAAAGAAGGTACCCTTTTTATGATGATTTTATTATTAAGTAATATTATCTTTACAAAATATACCCCGCATTCTAGATGTTAATTACAATTTGAATGATAAATTTACAATTAATTATTAAATGAGATTGCGTAGTATAATTTGATACCTAATCTATAAATCATGATCTATTTTTTTTTAAAAAACTTTAATAAACGGAAACGAAACAAGAAAATGATTATAACAAGGCATACACAGAAACCACCGATTAATCCACTATAATAAGTATTTTTTCCTGCAGCATTACTACCTGAATTATTAGCGCCACTTTTATCTGGAACAAATTCTTTTGTATTGCCGCCACTTTTATTTGGACTGGTAAATCCACCATTTTTAAATACCGTGTCTGAATCTGAAAATGCAACGTTGATTTTTTGCGGGTTGGTAAAAATATTTTTTACAACCAAACAATATATATCGAAAGACTCAATCAAAACTTTTCCGGTATCTTGGTCGCATTTAATTGTGGCTGTTTCACATGATAATGAAGGTATATATCGATAAAAAGTGGAATGGTTGGATATATCTATTGCAGAATCCGATGATGCCACAAATGTCAAAATTCCACTTCCTGTTAATGGTGTTATTGGTGTTTTGCCAACTGGAATTCCTTTAGATTCAATTCCAAATCCAGGCGTGATTAAGGTTGAATCAGGAACCACTCTAACACTGTAACCTAGTGTGATAATTTTTGTTAATGCGAATCCTTTTAAAAGTGTTGAAGGAAGAAGAATGGAGAGAATAATAATTGATACTTACTAACAGATTTTGTTTTTGTTTTACCACATATCCTCCAAGTACCATTATTTGGAGGAACATTCGCTGTTTGATAAGGTTGGATGACAGCTCCTAAATCTTCTGGTTGTTGAGATGGTGTTTGAGAAAAGACAGAGATAAACTGTGGTAGATAAAAGGATTCAAAAAAAAAAAGTATTAAATCAATTTTCATTTCAATCGTAAAATGGAGTGAAAATATTTGATAGTATCGAGAATTTATCATACCAAGAAGCTCAAAATTATGGAGATTTTGATTAAGCTCATTTTGCTTTTTGATTATTTTGGCAAATGTATTATGAATTGGAAAAGGCGGATCGAATAAAGGTGCCCACTTTTATACGTGTTAAGTTGTCTTTGTCTTGTAATTATCGACAATCTTTCCTTCTAAAGTCCACTTATTCGGTGTAATATTAAAGGATATACAATAGTATTACAATGAATTAATCTGTAAAATTGATTTGTTTTAATTATTTACTAAGTTTGTTTGATAATTAATTAAAATTCTTTTTTTTTTTCGAGAATTTCTTTGATTGCCGTAATAGTATTTTTTGCCTAGATAAAATTGGCGAAATCTATGCATGATCTAGACTAATGAAAAAAAATATGCCCAATGACATTGTTGTGTATTCATTTTCTGAAGTATTAAAGAAAGAATATTCTTACTCGATTCAAAATTTATTTAAAATTTGTAATGTTCGAAAGCTGTGTAACAAAAAGTAAATTGCTCTCTATTAAAGTTTAGCTTCAAATAGAAGTTACCTCTTTCAACGTGGATTTTACAAAACTTCATGTCGGTTACAAAATTAAACTTTTAAAGACATGAAAACATACTAATTATAAATAAGGTAAGATTCTTCAGCCCGCAAAGAAACATTCCATATTTTGTAAATTGTTTCGTGTAACATTAAAATTACGGGAAAAAAAAAGATATATTTCAATTCAAAGTAACTGTTTTTTGCGAATGGAAAAAAAAAAAAATTTTTTTTTTGTGAAATATTATGTCTTATGTAATGCAATATGCAATAAAATTGATTTAAAAATCTATTTTGCATCATTCAAGGTTTCAAAGATAAAGTTTTGATGTACAAGCAAACTATCTAATCATTTTTGCATTTTCTTGAATATAATATGTGCGACAATTATATAAAATTATATAAAGCTATATAAAATCGTAGTTTAAATAACCGAAATTAAATTCATACTAACTAGAGAACGGTTTCAGCAAAAATGTGACGAAATGGACCAATCATGTACCGACTCAATTTTTGAGCGGGACACAGCGGACAATTTAATTGTCCTTCGCTTCGCTTCGCTTCGCTCCGGACTAATTATAATTAGAGAAAAATTTATAAAAGATTTACTTTCTTTAAACAAATATATATATTATTACAAATGAGTTTACAATTAGATATTACCTTCCATAAGTTAATTTATATGCAAAATTTTAGTTTTATATTTTATTTTATTTATTTTTAGTTGTAGTTATCCTATTTCTGCGTCATTCTGCGCATTGAATTTGAATTCGTTTGCTTTAGTTATATTGGACATTTTGCCTTTCAAAAAACCAATTTTTACGTGAAACTTTATTGGTTCTCAAATTTGCTTAGAAATCTCTATTTAAATTATTGTTTGAAAAGAATTTGTCTTTATAGACTTTATTCAACAGACCAATGTTGATTTTGCGATTTTAAGTTTCATGTTCATTTCATATCCAATTAATAAACAATTTATTTTATACATATTATTTATCAACTCAAATTATTTAAAAATGAATACGTTATAAAATATTCTTTATTTGGATATGCGTTTTCCAGGTGTATTATCTAGGATCATTATTTTTAATCTCGATCCATTCAAAAATTTATTTTCAAAGGAATGGATGTAGAAAATAAAATTTTTAATTTAAATATATTAAAATTTATTTTATAAATAGGACTTAACTCATGCTTTAACCATATTCATCATTTAGATCATTTAAAGCATCATATCAATTACAACCAGTAATTATTAATCCTTAAATTTGTTAATAGTATTATAATATTCGTATAGATGGATTTAACCAATAATATTTCTGAAAATTCTGACCAATAATTAAGAAGGCTACTCTGATTGGATAAAATGCTACGACTGCAAAATAAACATCACTTGTTTGACAGTTTATATATGGGATAGCGTCAAAATTCTCTATCGTTAATTAAGGAATCAGATTTTCGTGATGCGTGAATTTTGTCAAAGATTTTCTCGCCGAAGATCAAAATGCCGATACATAGCAAGAAGTATTTTAACATCTATAGAGGCGGAAAATAGTTTAACATCGTGATGACATGTCTCAAGAAACTAGCCGAAAATAAACCAACCTTATTATAACTTTGAGTTCATTTGATTATAAATATCAATGATGCAAATAATGGTAGGTTTGAAATTTTATTAGAATTTTCGTTTGATTTTTGTGCAAGGCGGATAAAAGAGTTCATTGATCAGGGTCTCGCCTTTTATATAATTTGCAGTAGGTCTAAGGTTCGATTTTGGAATCAAATCTTTGGTGAAATTTCTTGAATATGAGGTATTAGAAGCGAAAAACAATTCTATCCTTGGAGTTATACTCTTAAAAGCTTTAAGATAAAAGCTTAGCAGTAGAGGCGTAATTCTGATAAATTTGACTCTCCGATTGACAGAACTCGATTATATCAAATATTCGTGTGATTATCGGGTTAAAACATCGTGATACTTCCTGATATAGAAATATTAGATATGGGAAATGGCTTTATATAAAATCAACCCACTGATCCAACCCAAACTTTCCTCAAAGCGAAAATTTTGACAAAACTGTTGTCTGATATGGAATGACTGGGATGTAGTGCAGTAACATGTGGAAAATAACAATTTGGGTTTGGATAAGGTGAACATAACAAGAAGAGTTGCAGAAGATAATAGCACAAGGCACGGAAGAGGAAAAAAAAGAATGCAATTCGTGTTGAAAATCAATTTCAGGTAAGTATGCTTCCATGGTTTATATTACTAGGTCACAATCAGTCGCTACCCATCTTCGCATGGTTATGGACTTCGCCTCCGCTGTAGCCAGCTTGTGAAAAGTCATCATGTTAATTTTTTAGTATTTGATGATCTTGGTATGTTTAACGTGTATAATCTATTTTTAATCAGTTGGTCTAAAAAAAATGAAACGTATCGATAACTTTTGATTGAAGTCTTTGCCGGCTGAAGCGCAAACTTACGGAAGATAATAAAATAAACGCCGAAAATGTATTTGTATCTTACGATTTACAATTCAGCGGAACATCTTGTAATAATGGAGTACAATTCGGCAGTGATGTGCTCTTGGAAGATTGAAAGCAAGTTGAAAAGTTGAAATTCAAAATTTTCAAAATTTATGAGATAAGTTTATGAAAAATCTCAACGTTAACAAATTAATTTATTAAAATGGATTGATGTAAAAGCCTCGAAAAATAATTACATTTACTTCATTTGAAATTCTATACATCTACTTCAAACACACAACCATCACAACCACACTATTGGAGGCACCTTTGGAAGGTTTGGAAGCATAATTTCTAATAAAATCATTTGGCTTGGCAGCTTCCAATCAAAAATTTATACCATTGGAAGTATAAATGCACATCAATGCAATTCAGAAATTAATTTTCAAGGGCATAAACAACCGTATGAAAATCGTGAACAAACAAGCATTGTGGTACAACCAAAAGAAGAAAAAAAAAAGAGCCTGTAAGTATCTTTAACAAAGAGTATGTCATTTGAGCTTCCTAAATTTGTTATAATTTATAGGTTGAAACTACTGGTGGGGATGACGAGAGAAATATATTCATCAGAACGAAGTGTTATTGGGTTCTGCTGAGGAAGCTTTTTACCTCTTCCCAACGATTTCTCATCCGAATATATTCTTGCTTTATGTATTACTTTTTATAATTTGCAAATTTGACATTAAATTCTTTTGCATGTATTTTTAGTGATGAATCAGAGATGATGAATTTGATGTTATTTCAGTAGTGTGTAAAAAGGTAAAATAATGATATTAATTGTCTATTGTGTAAATTAAAATTAATGTATTGTCATAGTCCAAAACGCAAAGTTGAAGTGAATGAGTCACCTTCCTCTCCTTCCCCTCAATTGCCTGCCTAGGCAGATTATTTCTACTGATATCAAGGACAATAATATGAAGGAGGGTAGCTGTACAGAGATGCGATTCTATTCTTGAAAATACATTATGTCAATTGATGTCTCGCTAATTTTATAATCTCCCATCCTGATTCAAGAAACCGGAAGCAATAGTCACGTCGATCAACAGCAAAGTTCACAATTCGAAGTAGATCCTCTGGTGTAAACACTAATGATGAAATATATCTTCCCAAGACTTGAAGAAAATGAGAAAACAAGAAGAAGTTGGACGAAACGAAGAATATGTTATGTGAACTTTGTCAGAAGGCAGTTAATTACCAGAAGGAGGAATTTAAAGGAATCAACAGGAAGTAGAACCCAAAAATTGTAAACTCTCCTGATCAGAAACACGAAATAAGCGATAATAGTTTAATTGTCTGCTATAATATATGGAAGGTGGTCAGTAGAAAAGGGGAAAATCCAAAGTTTGGTCAAATTTTATATTATTGGACCACTTGAATAATTTTGGATTTTCCCCTTTTCTAAATTATTTGAATGAGATCATTTTATCTTATAATAATTAATATTTTAATATAGTAATAATAATTGTATTTCGTTATAATAATTAATAATGATATGTCTGCTTGGGAAGATTGTTTTTGTAATCTATTATTCTTTCAATATTTTTATATATATATATATCTGACCGTCTCCCATATAATTAAGATCAAAATATTAAATTAATCATATTATATAATCTTTATTAACAATCCTTTTTTAAAAGAATGGTTTTAAAAATTGAATCTTAACTTAAATATAAATATTTTTATAAGATGTAAAGTTTGTAAATTATCTATTTTCTATTTTAGTAATAATTTATATATTATAATATACAGTATATGTATTTAAAATCAATGTATATATTTACATATTATGTATTTGGATTTACTGTAATAACTTTTAATATTAATATGTAAAATTATTAATATTATTTTAGTAAAGGTATTTATATAAGTAGATAAACTACTTGAAAAAGTAAATAAACTTAAAATAATATGATATAGATATTTAAATAAACTGTATTATATGAATAGTTAAACTAGAGCTCCGAATCAGGTCAGGTCAACCTGTAA